TTCTGCTCCAGTGTCTAATTTAAACTTTACTAAAGAGTCATTTATATTTAAAGTGACATACCAGTTTCTACACTTCACCATCACCATCAACTATACCATACGAATGAACCTGTCGTTTCTGATGCCAGTTGTAATTCTTTTTTCGACAAACTTTAGCCCAATGATTAGCTAAACCACAAAACGAGCATGTTGATCCAAATGCTGTATGTCTGTACCATGTTCACCTCCCAATGATTTGGCTTGATTTAAACTAAGTTCATTAGCCCTACAGATATTAACCGCCGTTTCAAGAGTGAGATCAGATTCTTGTAATAGTCTAGTTCTTAGCTGATCACTAAGAATGCCACAAACAATCCTATCTCTTATAAGTTCCCCAAACTCACAGTTCTTGGCATCGTTACGTAAATCAGAAAAATACTGATCGAACGATTCACCTACTTTTTGGGAGCGAATGTTGAAAATATGTCTCTCATACGTCACATTTCGTTTCGGTGAGCAATATTCTTCAAATTTGTCAAGTACGGGTATTAATTTTAGTCTATTTTCAGGAGTTTCAAATACAAAACTGTTATATATTTCTAAAGCCTCTTCACCTATAGTATGAAGTAATGTTGAGGTTTTTACCTTTTCGGTCTTCGATACGATACCGCTTGCATCCAGGTAAATTTCAAATCGCTGTTTCCAATGTCTCCAATTTTCCGATAAATTGCCATCTAAATTAAGAGAACCTGGAGCCTTCAGCTGATCCATTATTAAACTTCTAGCACCACTTCTGACACCATGTAATATATATCTATCATTCTAAAAATGACCAACCAACAACCATGTGCGTTGAATATCTTTTTATTCACCCAGGTGCATCCACCCGTGCAACCTCAGGTCCCGTGTCGCTTTATACCATCCAGATTACCCAGACCCTTAAATCTTATATAGTCAAGATACATGTAGTCTTGATTATCTGGACACTATATTACAACTGTTACCGGTATATGATAATAATGTATTATGACATATTAAAATAATATGGGTAGGAGGGGGTACACTGCGAAAGTCACAAAAGTGACAGCGCCATGTATTTGTAATTTTACAAATTCTATATCCATAGAATACTGTACATTTACATGCATTCAACCAAGGGATATTCTTACGACAAATATCCACTGTGACAATATACATCTACTGTGTGCCGCTCATTTCATTTCGGTGGAAGCGGATATTAAATAAAGCCATTTTACACACACACAGACGTGTACAATACATGCGCATGTCATATATTTATACAATGGCCACACGTGTGTTAATTCTCACCTTCACCCCGTTATAATTTACTTATTTTGAGTACACTTTTGAATGATTCCATTCCTTTGTACGTTCAACTTCCCGATTTTCTACTGCATATACATGTGTACATGTACTCTGTGTAACTGCAATCTATAAGCGTATAGATATCAGCAGCTCGAAAGTTATACTAGACGCTCGCTGTAAACGCAAGTTTCGTGATTGAACCTGCATCGATATTGCATATTAAATCCATAATCGATAATAATCCATAAACAAAGAGATGTTTTGAGTAGCATTTTATTATTTTCGCTCCATTGTCATGATTTTTATTGAAAAATCGAAATTAAGCTAAACATGTAATACTAATGCTTTCTTTTAAAGTTGGGTTATTTGAGATGCCAGGTAGTCTGAACATCTAAAGATAACACGTGTGGAAATAGTGGCTACGTGCAATTTTATCCTTTAATCTGTTCTATCACTGGCAATCCTGTTATAGTGAAACCAACATGCATGCAAATGACTATACAGTGTATTACAAGTTGAATGTTTTGCTATGAGTATCGCTCGATTGTAAGCAATATAATTTTAGTGAAATTGGTGTCGAGAATTGGTGTGGATTCGGAATATAAACTAGAGTGTATACAAAGAAAGAAGTTGGACACTATTCCTATTAAAATTGCATTGACATCGTATAAATAAAATATTCGGAAAATAAGCTAAGGCCTTTGCAAAAGAAGGAGTTGGACACTATTCATGATAAAATTGCATTGGCATGTTTTTATTTGTATTAATATATAAATAAAATATTAAAAATTCATGCAATACCGGTTTTTAAATTTGTGGGGTGAAACGATGATATAAGTGGGATGAAAGGACCCGTGTACAATGTATATGATAATAATGTATTATGACGCATTAAAACGATATGGGTGGGAGGGGGTACACTGTGAAGGTCACAAAAGTGACAGTGCCATGTATTTGTTATTTTACAAATTATGTATACATATAATATTGTACATTTACGTGCATTCAACCAAGGAATATTCTTACGGGATTTATTTGCACGTCCAATTTCCCGATTTCCTACTGCATATTTATGGACCCTGTGTAACTGCAATCTATAAGCTTATACATATATGTTTACGTTTAAAATCTAGAAGCTCGAAATTTATACTAGACCGAGTACACGCAATTTTCGTGATTGAACCTGCATCGATATTGCCTAATATTGGACCCATATTATCTTTGCTACTCGGACCAACCCAAAGGACCCCTCAGACCAATAAAATTATATTATAAGGCTTGACTTATTCATTTTAAAAATAAAATACAGACAATATGTTATTTATAATTAAATTACAATACAAAGAGGTGAATAATTTATAGGTGAGTATATACATAACTTAACAATGTCCGCTGCCGGTAAGTACATATTAGCAAATATTTATAGTTATTACATCAACAATTTAATAGTTTTTCTTTGATGGGCTTCATGATGAAAAAATACTACGGCTGCGCAAAATCCCGTAAGAATATTCCTTTGTTGAATGCATGTAAATATACAGTATTATATGTAAACACAATATCGTTTTAATGTTGTTGTTATGTGTTAGTTAGTTGTATTTTACGTCCACTTCCACCGAGGTGATATCGGAGACAAATGCGTCACAATACATTATTATATAATATCATATACCGGTGACAGTCAAGATTTGCTAAAAACTTTTCGCCAAGTAACACCGCATAAGAATATAGTTCCAATCTTTTGGCGCGTTTCCGACCAAGTGAATTACCGTTAAGCACACTGCGGAGTGATTTATGGCGCTGTGCTTTATGGGTGGTTGATTTAGATTAACTGAAGCTGCGAGTAATGGAGTAATGTGAAAAAGATCATTGTATATAATTTAAAGTTTGGATTTGATAGCAGACAATAATTGATGGATTACATCTAAGTTATAGACGAAGATGAAATGATACGTTGTTCATAGTTTGCATACATTTTGGCCCCACGTAATGCATGTACAGTGCGTTAGAGAAAAATTCTAACCGATACAGAATGCCGGTAAACGTTTTCCCGGGAATACCTAACTCATTTTGTTGTTTTTCAAACCAGCCTGTACATTATGTATGTACACTATTTCACAGCAGCATTACTATATTACAACTCCTTCAATTTATTATAGACAATATTAGTTCGACCCTAGCTTATGGTAGGCTCGCAAATTCCTGGCGGGAATCATGGCAAAGCACGGTGTATGCTTAGCGAAACGCAGTGTATGCTTAGCGAAACACGGTGAATTCCTAGAGAAACGCAGTGAATTCCTAGAGAAACACGGAGAATTCCTAGAGAAAAATCGCCGCGGAATCAAGTGAAATTTCACCGCGGAATCTAAGAGAATTCGGAGTGGTTTTTTTCACCGCGTCGCCACGATTTTGGTCCCAAAAATTTGGGAGGAACTGTATGTTGCTAAAAATAGATGGCGCTGATGCACCATTGGTTAATTTTAACTGAAATGAAAAGTAGAACTCTTGCGAGGCATGAGAAATTACGAGAGAGGGCACGTAAAAATTTCCAATGAGAATAATTCCGGAAGAAATAGCTTATATTTTGATGGAATTTTCAAGCGTTTATGATTATATTTTGAATAGGGGTTATGTTTTTAAACAAAATTTATACAAGCTATATATATTTAGAAATGTCGACAAGTATTTCTATTGGAATACTGTATGTACTGTAGTTATAGACGACTACGAATGCTATTATTTAGCAGACGATGATTATTATCATTTATTGATTTTCAGAACCATTTCCCATACAAACAACTAATCACTCTCCTTAATATCAGATCATTCTCCTTAATTTCTAAATCACTCTTCTTATCGAAACTATGAGAGCTCTTTAGGGGAGTGATTTTTTCAATTTGTCCATTAATCACGTGGCTAAGTCGGTAAGATGCTGGCTCGCTAGCCTGGAGGTCGGTTGTTCGATCCCTGCATTGGCCGAGAAAGTTCATCCAGATTTTCCGGCGTGGTTCCCCCTTGTCAGTGATGCAGGACGGAGGGCCTGACAAGGACAGCTGTCTAGTCGTTCGGATGGCACGAAAAACTGAGGTCCCGTGTACACATTGGCGTGCACGTAAAAGATCCCTTGACAGTTGGAATTCGATATAAGAGTAGGCCGTAGTGCCACTGTCTGGGCAAAATTTCCCTCATAGCACACTGTATGGCATATGCCCGTCTTCATTAGCCTAGTTTGGAGCAGAACAGTAGGACGTTAAACCCCATTTCATTTCATTAAGGGGAGCTTTTTTCGGCTCTCCTCTAAAATACAAAATACAACGACTGTAGTACTAATATTAGTTTATTCAGTTCAATATCAATCATTACATAATAATCCAGGGATAGTTTTAGCGAGCAGAATGACAAGAGGAAATATTACAAAAGATATGATGATATTCAACTATTATAAACACATTAATTGGCAAGCATGACAAATAAAAAAAAACTGATTGCAAGAGACAAATCAGACATACAAAATGTAACATGATAATAGTAATACCAAAAGGGATTATGAATATTTCTGGCATCTGGCAACACTGATATGTAATATCTACATATAGATACAATAATCAAAAACATAATACCAGTAATGAAGGGAACAAGAAGGTTGACGTCATAACTTGAATAAACCTGTAATAAATATTACATTTGTATTATAGGATAAAAGATTAGATGAAATGAGAAGATTAGTTAGGAGATATCGTAAAGTAGAGGAAATGTTGATACAAGCACAGGGTAGAAAAGGTAAAGTTATATGGCTATAGTTTTGTTTAAGAACATAGTTTTGTTTAAGAACATGTCTGCAAGAAGACCATGCAAAAATTGAAAAAAATGATTACCCCGGGGGTTCAGAAATTTTCAATCATACTTGGTCTATGGGGACCCCTTGCCCAAATTTCAAAACCCTCCTACTCGAAATGTTGTGACCCTAAAATTTTGATATTGGTCAGTCAGTTATGATAGGCCAAGTATTCGACTTAAAATCATGCTCTCGTTTGGGAATTAATGGATCGCGTGGAATATTCTGTGAGTTATCTTAAAGTGGTCATTTTACATATTTTGAAATCGTATCCTAAAACGTATGTTGCTGCTTCTTGGCGGATCTGACCTAGAACTGCTGGGTGTGGTTATGAAGGTCATTCGTCCATGTATATGTCAGAAGAAACAAATTAATCGGCACTAAACCCACTAGTGCACTACAATATTCTGAAAATGTGTAAAAATCAATGTGTTCCATATGATTCTTCTTTTACTGATGACCGATGACTATCTTAAAGAGTTCAAATGACCATCGATTATCAACATTAGTACTATATTTTGTTATTTGAGCGTTCCTTGTGCCAAATATGTTATTTTGGTTAAATGTTATTTTGTGACAAAATCGGACGTTCACGATCATCGTAGGGAAGGGGCGTAACTGGTGTATAATTTTGCAGAATCAGACAAAGATAATTCTCATTTGTGTTCTCATTTGTGTTCTCATTTGTGACTATCATAAACTTGATATATCTGTTACCCACATTCTCATGTAAGAAGAACCACAAGAAAAAATATTTTTAAGTGTTCATGAAGAGGCATTTAATATCTGGTGGTGTCCTTGTTTAGGAGACCGTCAAGCTTTCCATATTGAAATCCCCAAAGGGGAAGATGGCATGGATCACAACAGGTTTCATGGCACTCCAGACAGTCCAGGATAAGTCTGACTGCACATTCAAACTTCTGACATATACCTATGTTCGATGACCTGCCTCTCTATGTTCTTAGTTTTGGGACCCCATTTTTGTAATATGTTTGACCAAAATAACCTATTTGGCATGTTCAAGTAACCAACCATGGAAGAACGGGTGATAATTAGCGGGCATTTAAAGATAGTCAACAGTGAAGAGACGCACCCGTCAAACAATGCCATACTTAACATCTCTATATATGTGTACATTTTCTAACATTCCATCCATTGTTAATTTGAAAGATATAATGGTAATCAATTTATAGTCATTCTGATCATGTTGTGTATGGCTCAATGCCACTGGATCATCTACATTCCCCCCGTCCTTGAAATCCGTTACACGCGCAAACATCAGCCACGAGAACATACTGGAGATGACGACTGAATGGAATATATAGTAAACTTTGGGTAAGTCGGATCTAAGTGGACTGACCAATTTTATCCGAGTTAGCCGAAGACCGAAATTTAATCTTAGCTCGATTAGAAATAAACTGCAAGAGCTGGATAATAATTGATTCAAACGCACATTTCAAGCTTTTGTTCGTATGTGCGAGTAGATAACTTCCGTTTTGGTGCAAGTAGATAACTTCCGTTATGGTGCGAGTAGATAACTTTCATTTTGTCGCCATCTTTGAAAAACGTCCTAAATTTTCCTTACGTCGCATCAGATAGGGTGATTTGAGTCAAAATGATAGGGGAAAGTATTTTGGGACTCTGTGAAGGAAAAAAGTCAGATTTAGATCAGATGGACCGATTATTTTGATCTGAGTTGAGCGAAGGATCCGACTTACGCACAGAAATTTAATAAGAAAAACGTGCAGGATTAAAGGGTCCAAATGATTTTATCCGAGTTGAGCGAAGATTCGACTTATGCGACGTTTACTGTATAAACTTTGTAAAGATCACCATACATTCATACTAAAATGACCTTGTTTGTGTCTAGTGGTCTTAAACCTAATCATCCTTGCTAATGATTAAATGGAATATATTGAATTTGTAAAGATGTCCATACATATTCTTCATCTTTGGTATTGATAAATGGGACATTTTATCCCAATTTTTGGTGTTTTTAATTTATTTCTGCTTTTTGTCCCCCACCTTTCAAAGAAAGCAGGGGACTATTAAAATGGGTTCGTCTGTCTGTCGGGCCGTCAAACTTTTTGGGACACAATAACTCTCTTTCTAATTGAGCTAGAATGTTCAAACTTGGTGTAGATGTTTATTAGGTCTATGCCTTAAAGATACATTATGCAGGGCTCTATAAAAGTTGAGTGTGCCTGCGCACACACTTGAAAATGTGCCTGCAGGGTCATACTCAAAAGGAGAGTATTCAATTGCCAGGTATATAGTATGATTGTGTGGGGGGGGGGGCTTACGAAAGCTTCTTGTGTTGGACTCGGCAGAAGAAGAAATTATAAATAATTTTTAGTACCTTTTTATACGCCCACATTTAAATGTAGTCGTATATTGTCGTTGCCCCTGTCCGTCCGTCCGGCGTCCACAATTGCTTGTGGACGCTCTAGAGGCTAAAGTTAATATCCGATTGACTTTAAATTTATACACAGTGTTTAAGGTCTTGAGACGAAGAAGCCTACTGATTTTCAGCGATTTCCGATAATTACTGCCAGAGTTATGGCCCTTGATCACTTCAAAAAATCTTGTGGACGCTCTAGAGGCCAAAGTTAATATCCGATCGATCTTAAATTTATACACAGTATTTAAGGTCATGAGACGAAGAAGCCTATGGATTTTCAGCGATTTCCAATAATTAATGCCAGAGTTATGGCCCTTGATCACTTCAAAAAATCTTGTGTACGCTCTAGAGGCCAAAGTTAATATCCGATTGATCTTAAATTTATACACAGTGTTTAGGGTCATGAGACGAAGAAGCCTATAGATTTTCAGCGATTTCCGATAATTACTGCCAGAGTTATGGCCCTTAATCACTTTGAAAAATCTTGTGGACGCTCTAGAGGTCAAAGTTAATATCCGATTGACTTTAAATTTATACACAGTGTTTAAGGTCATGAGACGAAGAAGCGTTTTGATTTTCAGCGATTTCCGGTTAATATCCGATTGACTTGAAATTTATAATCAGATTTTAGTTTATTATAAATGTTTCATTACCAAAAATTAAAAATATGTGACAACTCTTGTTGACTGCCCGGACGATTTAGCTGCTGTGGGCGTATGTTTCGTTGCCTGGCAACCTATCTTTTATTATGGTTTCTAAATTGTAATAATGTATTATAGATTACTTTAATAATAAAGATTATGTTTGATGTGCATATTGTTGTTGTTTGGGGTTGATATAAACATAGAATAGATGCCTACCGGCTTCAAACAAGTTCATTAAATCCCTTTACGCAGCCAGGTTGTCATTCGTTAAACTTAACTTCCGGTATAATTCGGATACTAACAAGAGTTGTTTCCCTTGACGATGACAAGATATTCATGCACCGTAACTAAAATAACTGTTGTTCTGATGAGGCCTAAATTACTTTCCAATATTCCACTTACAGTGTATTTAAATTAAAAACAAATATCTAATTTACCATTTATTTTAATGTAAAATCAAAAGGTGATAGTTCATATGTCGCGTGCAGACGTTTTTATCATCGACTAGCTTATTCTAGTAAATTATTATACGGTAATCAAAGTAAACAAAAAAACAAACAAAAAAACAACAACAATAAAAATAAATAGTATTCTTTATTTTACATGATTTACGTGACAGTAATAATTTTTAAAAATGTGCCTGCAAAAGAGTTTTTTAAAGCAAATGTGCCTGCGCACACCGTGCGCATGTGCGCGGGAATATCGATGCCTGGCATTATGGGAGATAAGATAAAGAGATGGCAGTTCTCGCTATAATAGTTAAAAACTAGATAGTGTAAAGTTAATTTGCTGAAAATTTCAGTCAAATTGATCCACTATGAGCCGAGAAAGAAGCAGGTGAAATTTTTGCATAGTCTCGGTCATCATTACTTAAATTATTAATATAAACAGCATAGTCTCGATTATCCACTTATTTGATTTAATTATCAATGGCCGTTAGCAGCATATAGGAATCTAATCCAGCCAACATCGAAGGCTAGCCTTGACATCGAGAGTTTATTATGGTCTGGATAAGTTAATTAATGTCTAATTGATAATTTAGATAACATTTCAGGCCTAAAGAAAGACTTGTAATATGCAGATTTTGCTCTTGCATAATGCATGTTTAATGGAGTTTGAAGATGAGCATTTTCTGCTTAGGGTAAGCAGAGATAAGAAATTTGATTGGTTGATACTTTGGGACACGATAACTTTAGTTCTAATTAAGTGGGAGTGATGAAATTTGGTGTATAGTTTACATCAATACCTTGACTAAGTTCGATAATGAACATTTTCTGCTCAGGGTAAGCAGAGCGATAAGCAATTTGATTGGTCGAGACTTTGGAACGCAATAACTCTAATTGAGCTAGAATGTTCACACTTGGCATAGGTGTTTATTAGGTGAATGCCTTGATGGAGTTGAAAGTTAGAAGATGAGAATTTTCTGTTAGTGTAAGCAGAGATAAGCAATTTGATTGGTTGATGCTTTGGGACACGATAACTTTAGTTCTAATTAAGTGAGTGAATACACTTGGTGTATAGTTTTATCACATCAATACCTTGACTAAGTTTCATAATAAGCATTTTCTGCTTAGGGTAAGCAGAGCGATAAGCAATTTGATTGGTCGAGACTTTGGAACACAATAACTCTCCTTCTAGTTGAGGTAGAATGTTCAAACTTGGTGTAGGCGTTTATTAAGTGAATGCCTTGATGAAGTTCGATGATAAACATTGTCTGCTTACGATAAGCAGAGATAAGCATTCTGATTGGTTGATGCTTTGGGGCTAATAACTTTAGTTTTAGTTAAGTGAGAGTGATGAAACTCCGAGTATAGATTCATTATATCATTACTATACCTTGATTAAGTTTGATGATGAGAATTTTCTGCTTAGGCTAAGGATCTAGGCTAAGGATCGATAAGCAATTTGATTGGTCAAGACTTTGGAACATAACAACTCTGCTTTAAACTGAGGTAGAATGTTTAAACTTGATATTGATGTTCATTAGGTGAATGTCATGACTTTTATTGGTCTATGCTTTGCGACCAGATAACTTTGATAGAGAGTGATGAAACTTAGTGTATAGTTGATAATCAGTTTGATTGCTTGATACTTTTGAAAAAAAATAAATGTGCGATTAATTAATATGTGTTATCTGTTTATTTTGGGATTTCGGCAGGGGACATCAGCCTCACTGTTGGCTTATTAACTTTTATTTTGGCAGGTTGGGTATTTAATTAAGTTGAAATAAGTACCTTATTTTAGTCAAGAAATGATCATGTATGAAATATTACATGATTCCTTAAATAATACAATGGTTTAAATATATTACAGCTGTAGAAGAATTAATGTTAAATGCTGAAGATGATACAAGTTCAACTAGTTCTTCTACAACCCCATCTGTTGGAGAAATAATGAGAGACAACTTGCATAATGTATGTATATTACATATGAATACAAATCACATGCTCGTCTGTTAATAACATAAGTATACCTTTAAAAGTACATGAACAAAAAAAACAGTAATGTCTTCTGTTTGTCAGCATTTGGAAAAAAAAATATTGTATATTGTAATTTAGATTATACTGCATGAATAGTTGACAGATTCAGTTCTCTAAAAGATGTATTACCTGTGGAATTAAGACTGTAATTGCACTGTTGAGTAATGTATGAAACTACCAAGAAAGTAAATTTGAAACTCCAGTAAAAATAATTCTGGGGGTTCAAATGAGAAACATGTGTAACCTTGAAGGAATATATCACTAATGACAAGATTGAAAATGTGCAATATGAAGTACAAAAGTAAATCACCTAACCTATGTCATAATTATTCTGACAAAAATGATGATAGGCAAATAAGGTATGAGGTCTGCACATTACATATACTAATAAAGTGTGTTGTTTATAGATGGATGATTTACGGGTAAATACTAACTATCTATCATCACCTACAGCGACTAGTACACCAGGTAAAACTTTTATACATCAATTTCCTACATCATTAAACATTGAGTTGAATATTATACAATAGCAAGATGACGTTTTGTATAGGGCTGTACGATATTCTCAATATAGTCATTTATCGCGATATGGTATTTTCAAACCCAACTACGATATCATGTGGCCAAAAATCGTCGATATAGTGGTTTATCGAATATCGCCCAAAACTTCAAATATCGAAAAAAATTATTGTAAAAATAGATAATAAATACACTATACAGCAGTGGAAATTAGCCGACGGCAATAAACTATAATAAATAAAACTAATGTTTTGAGAATCGTTAAATTTTCACTGCATCGTGTAAAAATAGATAATAAATACACTATACAGCAGTGGAAATTAGCCGACGGCAATAAACTATAATAAATAAAACTAATGTTTTGAGAATCGTTAAATTTTCACTGCATCGTGTATGCGTTACTTTTACTTTGTTTTTAGTCGACAATAAATTGTCAGTTGTTACTACATGTGAAGCTTTGGCCTACTAAACGCCTGAAATTTCCCACTACCGCGGCTAATTACCAGGCTATAAATAGGTTGTCATATTTTTAAAAAACGAATATTTTTAGAAAACTCTACGAAACTTAATTTCTGAAAGCAAGAATAAAACGATCTATAAATAGATCACTGTCACTTTTAGGCCAGGAATACCGCAGCCAATTGAATGCTTGAATGGAAGATAGTCCAGATCATTTAGTATTTGTTAAACTGTTTGAACTTACATGTACAATACAAGACTTGAAGACCGCATCTACTTACTTCCGCTAAACGTGATATTTGAGAATTTTCTTACACAAGGCCAGCGGTTGTATTTAATTTTTATCCAAAAAGGATTTTGTTCTGTTCATTTTAATAAATTTATATTATAAAAAACAAGCGAAGTTCAAAATGTATGAATAAAGCAATTCTTACCCACAATTCTTAAATCTTACTCACACTGTAGTGAGCTTTAATGCATTTATATTTAATTTCTTTAATAGCAAAGTGACATTATTATTAAATTTAGCGATATTTAACTATATTGTTGAAAAAAATGACAATATCGATATCGTCTCTTTTTGCAATATCGTACAGCCCTAGTTTTGTATTGGATTATAATTTATGATATTTGACTTATTTTTTATGCAGTCTATTTATACATGAAATTTCTAAGTGATACACTATCCTTGATTTCTTTGTTTATACTGTAGTCTTTGAAGTTACAAGGACACTAAATTTATAAAAGTTTGCAGCTTTATAAGACTATGCTCTAGTTAACCTAATGGTATCAGTATTAACATTTATCTAGAAAAGGGGAAATCCTGTCATAATTAAAGGAGAATACTACCACAAAAAGTTGTTTTAATATGAAAAATAACGTTAATATTAGAATATTTTTGGCCCTGCGAAATTTTAATAGTTTTTCTGAATGTTTTTACTAAGGAAAAATATACCCCAAAAAACACTTGTTTTGTTTTTTTGCGTGAGTGACGGCAGAGACGACAGACGTTGTGAATTTCCCTATAGAAGGCTATTGCAACATAGCACTGCATCCCATCATTTTGACTAACATGGTCAGTTGGGTTTCTTGGGGATGTGCTAATAGCACCAACAATAAATCAGGTAGCATGTGTCATTTTTTAAAATTTCAAAGTGAGACAACATGAACAAAGGCCTGGACACAGCGACGTCAACGAGACGAGAATGGCTGGTCTCCATCAAAACACACTTTTCTTTGTTCGGAGCCTAAATCCTAATGTTAATTAATATCCCCATTTCGAAGAGTCTTCCTCCTCAGTAGTAGGTGTCCGTCAGATTTAACTCGTTAAATGAGTGTAATAGAAAATTTTTTCAGCAGTAGACCTATACCGTTAGTATAGATGATGCTATTTTTTTCTCAATTGTAACACAAAGAAAGTAAGCTAGGGCATATAATACCGTATTACCCTATGGCTAGGGCAAACTTATTGGAATTAATAGTTTTTCTGATATATTTTCGCTGATGAAGCGAAAAGTTATCGAGAATGAGTGCTTCACATTTGAAAAAAAATAAAGGAACCATAAAAAGCTCTTCTAAAATTACAACAGCTGAAAATCGCCTCTTGCAAAAATAGCACTTCTCAACTCAAAATAGAGGAGCAATCCATTATTTAGAAGAGCTCCCCTGTAAAAATACAAAATTTTATTGAAATTTCACTGAAATCTCACTGAAATTTCAATAATATTTTCTCACTGAAATTTCAATAATATTTTGACCAAATCTCTCACTGAAATTTCAGTGAGATTTCACTGAAATTTCATTACTATTTCAAAGTCTTTATTAACATACATTCTGAAAAAAACCCTCCAAACAATTACAATATTACTATATTATTAATTATCCCTCAAATTTCTGTATTCCGTCTTCTAAATTTTCTTTTTCTTCTAGTGTTGTCCTTTTCTTCGATGATAATAAAAATATATGGCCTGAAATGACACAATCAAAATAATATTAAATAAAGATAGGCATGTGCCATGCAGTGTGCTGTTAGAGCATTCAGCAGTTTCAAAATTATCCTGTCAAAAACAAAGCATATAATATAAATTTTGGGATAAATGTGCATCGGCTGTCACTAGTGGCAGGCATTTACTTCTGAATACACAAGGTTACAACACTGATAATTTACTCTTAAAATATCTTATGATTTATTTTTAGTGGATCCTATTTAGGGGTGTGACGATTAGTTGGTTTAGTCGGAGTCGGTTCGGTTTTACCTACAAAACGGTACAAGTATCGGGAAATCGATGGTCGTCTAAGAAATACAGCATGATATATAAACCTGTCGCCCGAATATTATAGCATGTTTTTTTTTTTAAAAAGATACATGTATTAACGATCGACAATTATGGGGGGAATCAGCAATAAGCTACATCATTGATAAATGGTCAACAATAATAATAATGAGACAGTATATTCTGTAATCGGTCGTAGATATTCCCGCGATAAAAAAAGAAATATAATTAGCATTCCTAACGATTCCCACGATGTTTGTTAATTAAAATGTAACGATCATCAGTTACAACTTCGGTATATCGGCTGTGGATTATTGTGAATATTGACCGTAATTTCATTATATTATAGTTATTTAGTTAAACAGCATGTGTAAAGAGTTGATATATTTACTACCACATGTTTATCGTCAAGTAATAAAATGCAACGAAAGAAATACTTACCGTGTTGGTAAGTAAAAAATAAATCCATATCGTTTCCAGTTATTTTTAATTATTATCACAAGAAATAAATAAAACACTATGTCTATTGTAACAGGTTTTTTTTTTCACAAAAATAATTATCTAGTGGAGAGATTTAAAGTCGTATATCGTAGACCGCATTTCCGTTTTTACTACAACTAGACTTATCCCAGACTGAGCTTACTTAGTGTCATTTGATTATCTGCTTACATGTTCCCTTCATGCTGCCACTCAAAGACACGTGATAGTGAGCAGTACTTCAGAAGATCAGACCCTTTGATCCTACTGCGGTTTCTTTGAAGTAGATGGAAATGACAAGTCATCATTTAAATAGACGCCAATAAATGTGTGATACTAGACGTGACGTAATTATTGCTGACTGAATTCTTTTCACGTGTATACACATAGTATTACTATTAAGAAAGTGCTTTGATGAAACCGACGGAATAAGTGTTTTATTGAAGGTGGTCATTCAGTACAGTACAGTTTGTAAATTTCTTTATTTTTATGGAATGAATGAATGATTGTTGGTTTTGTTTATGGATTATAATTATGTCCTCCCTATTACCTGCATAATATGTTAATAATAATATATAAAACGAAATGGAATGGATTTACATTCATATTATAATTATAGCGTAAGGTAGGCAGGCATATGAATTCCAAATGCCGGGGTGGGGGGAATAAACACGCGAACTGTGGATTATGTAAAAGAGAAATCGAAGTCTATTTTTATATGTTGTATTTATTACTTTTATTAAAAAGGTTAAACAGGAGATTTGAACAAACTACATAGTACAAACAAAACCAAATTTTTAATGTACCGGACACATAAAACATAGAACTGTATGTCGCCATTACAGTTTTAATCTCCGTATATAAAGGCCAGTATATTAGCGTGAATTGCAGACTCTGGAAGACTAATATTTTTCAGTTAGTTTTCATTACCATCTAAACCGAATCGGTTCGGTTTTTTTAGCCGCAGACTAAAATGTTCAAGTTTTGCTTAGTCGTCACACCGTTAATATACAGACAGAACAGTTTTACCTTATTTTTTAAAAACTAAACTTAGCCAGGTTACATAATTTGCATGACGAAAGTTAATATACCAATACATAGCCCGATCTACTAAAATTTAAACAACTATACTTACCACGGCTGCTTTTGAAAATATGCCTTATCAGTACATCCATTTTATAATTAACTACTTCGAAATTTATCCAACAAACCATTCTGTGAGAGGTGTTTTGTGGGTCATATAATCCAGTAAATAACGTGAACAAACACAACTCTATTATCCCAAATACGTGCCTTTTTTCCAGGAATTTCAACATTTGATTAAAAATGCGGAAGCCTTTCGCGAAACAGTGAAAAGAACTTAGGTTAATTAGCCCCTTAATCTGTTTAAATAGCAGCACCAGTTTATCAATTTAGTAATGAAACATGCACGTGAGGTCCTTTTATTTGCGTGAGAGTTTCATATAATTTACAACCATTACGACACTCTTGGAATCTCCGTCATTGACATTGTTGATGCTAATCAGCAATGACCTCAAAATTTGAATTTAAGATGGTTTAGATTTATTCTCTCTTTTCACTATAAAAGAGGTTGATTTCAAAACATGATTATATTAATTGATCGTAAAATATTTACCGTAAATGAAATTTACGGGTGCCGTAATTGATGACCTCGTTTGCAAATATGGCTATTGAAACACGTGTGTTACGTTTGAGAAAATAGCCATTCTATCATAATAC